TTCCTTTCATGATGCTTCTTTTCTTACACAAAAATACCTTTAACAAAAGCAAGCATATTCTTTCCAATCCTCTTCTTTATATATATATATATATATATATATATATATATCCATTCCAAGCATACACACACACACACAAATCCTCTTCTTTTCTTTTCAATGCAAAAAGGAAAAGATAGCATTTGACTAGCTAACAAGAACATGTTGATATATCCCTTCTTTCAATTATTTTGTGATTGATAAAGAGAACTAGGATGTCTTTTCTTTTTTTTTTCTCTTTCTTTTTTTTTCGTTTTTGCAGTATATTTTGTAGAGTTTGTAGAGATTAAAGAGAAGTTATTTTTACGGAACGGGAAAAATCAAGTACTAGATTTGATGTTGATGACACTGACTGCTTTTGTTGTGAGGTCCTTAATTTAATCTTGCGATGTAAGCATTCCTTTCTTTTTATCTGTTCTGCAAGTCGGATCACATGCATGGCCGGGTGATGCCACTTATATATATATTTTACACAGCAAAAGAAAAGTATTCTGCAACTTGTCTCAATGCTTATGTGTATATACACATACTTATACATACACACACATACACACATGCTGGAATAAATTATACTATTCTCTTTTTAGGTTTTGACAAAATTATTCACGTGTAGACCAATCAACATTTATGATTTTAATCTTTCTTGAAATTTAGGCACTCAACGACATTCCTAACATTTTCTTTTAACAGGCCTATGGGCTAAATTTTATAAAATAACAATCTTAGCATTCCTTTGTATAAAATGCATTATATTATATTAAGACATTACTGTCTTTGACTCTTTTCATATTTATAATTTACTCTATATATAACATACATATAATGAGAATAATAGGGATTTGTAACTCTTCAATGTATTAGAAAAAGTCAAAACTCTGTCAGGCTATTATATTTGACTAGCATTGTCTGAAAAAGACATCACTCTTTGATTTGTAACTTGTATGTCTCGCTTGTATATGGGGCTAAGAGAAAAAAATTAAAAAAAAAAACACTAGCACTTAATGTTGCTTTGTGCAAAGTAAAGACTTACTTGATTTGTCACTAAAAAAAACTTTTAATATTAATTTAAAAGATATAAAATATTTTCATTAATTATAAAAATACGATTCCATTAAAATAGGTCATTTTTTTAACGGATTTTTTAGATAATTTTTAAATATCATCGACCAAGCAGAATTTTGTACAATTTTTTATTTTCAATTCTCTTTATTTTCAATTCTCAAAAATAAAAAACTATTCTCACACAACTAAACCAAGGAGTCTCAAATATTTTCAATTCAAATGGGACCTAAATTTGTTACAACTCACTCAAACAAGAAAATGCGTGTTATTTCTGTTGGTAAATATATGCTTCAAATGACATTTAAGATATAACCAACCTTATACTAATATGTAATGAGATAATTAATAATATGCTAAAAAATAATTAATTAAATATTAAACTCGATATTTAATTAAACATGCAAAATTAAAGTAATAAAATAATAATAAATAAATAAAGAATCTCGACCACCGTTAGTATTAAATCCTATGTCCTTAAGAGAATTTACTCCCTGCATGGTGTTGACGGACTCTGTGGCGTTTGCCTCTCAGGATACAACGATCTACATCCACTAGTAACAGCACTACAAACTCGTGGATACGGCGAACCTCCTCCGTATAATATTCTTTTTGACTCAAAAATGCATCTATACTATATAGATACTGAATTGGTGCAATCCAAACCAAATGGTTCGAACCAATCTTAATATGGCTCGATGAAATTGGATTAGAATATAAGTGGCTCGGACCACTTGACTTACGGTTTGAACCCATTTGTGTTGGGTTCAAATGTGCAGCCCAATGGGATATTTATAGAAATAGAAATGTCTTTTCGGATTAGGTATGTCTCTTCATCATTTGACACAACCATTTATATGTGTTTTTTCATTACTAGACACAACCATTTATATGTGTTTATTCATCACTTGACACAATCACTCCAATTGGTTGCAATTAATGGTTCACATGGTGTCTGTTCACCACTAGACATATCCACTCCAATAGATTATGTATATTTGATTGTACCTTTTCAACCAACACACTCATTCACGCGTGTATTATAATCCGGTGCATTCTTACAGTTTATTAACCATTTCTAATCAATACATAACCACATTAAACATTAAGAGCACGGTATAGAATCGGTAAAGGTTATGTTAAATAACCTGAATTTCGGACTTTACATGTAACCTTTATACTAAGAAATTCACGTTGTAGTCTAAATACACATAGACACCAACTATAAATTAATTGCAAACAAGTTTCATTCATATTTGGAAACACTAGTTTTCATAACTAGTTTCCAACAACTTCACCATATACAACTGGTGTAACTTCACTATATACAACTGCCATCAGGGATAGAGCCAGAAATTATGTTCAATGACCTAATAAACAAAAATTGAGGAGGACAATTTTAAAATTTTGCAAACTTAATATATATATATATATATATAATGATAATACTTAGGTCCTCACAATAAATGGACACATTGTCTTTAATTACCAAATCAGTGATGGTGCAGCACATCTTTAGTTACAAAATTATACATACTAGAGTACACACTTATCAATATTATTATTTGTCTCTTTATTTTTTTATTTTTTTTTTCTTCATATAATTAAAGAGAATGAGTTCATTTATTAGTGGTCCACATCAGTAATGAAGATGAATGAAAGAATATCCTCTCACTGATGAGGACCTAAAGAATTTTTCTATATAGAAATATAAATTTTTAAAAGCTGAAGGCACAAGCCTGGCCTAAATTAGCTCCCTCCATGACCGCCATGCCATCATCAAGATGCTTCCAAACAAGTCCTGTGGTGGTAACAAAATGCTGCAAGTTAGTATTCAATATGCATTCCCAACAAATTAATATGTTACACAAACTGTTTCTTTCTGTAAATCAAAGGAAAAAAATTGACTGATTTCAATATTCATTCCCGACAAATTAATATTTTACAAAAACTGTTTCTTTTTGTAAATCAAAGAAAAAAAATTTGACTGATTTCAATATTAATTCCCGACAAATTAATATGTTACACAAATTGTTTCTTTCTGTAAATCCAAGAAAAAAAAAATTGACTGATTCATAGGGTGGGATTTCTGATAAGCCATCGCGTTCAGGTCAATTGCCAGAATATTTTAAGTTCAACTTCGAATCTTCAATTGTCATTGTATGAGACTTAAAACACTACGGTGTGGGAAGAAAATTCAGACTTCTCCAGCGCCCCTAATGGTCGACATAAATTTTAGTGCAGCTTTTAATAAATGACCATATATTTCGTCGTCAATAATCCGTAATCATAAAATAAAAAAATAAAAAAATAGAAATTTTATGTTTTATGTTTTTTTGCTTTGTGATTTATGCTTTTTCACACACACACACACACAAATGAAAAAAAAAAAAGGTTTTTTTTCCCTCGGCTGCTTAAACTGTGTATTTAATAGACAACATATAAATATTTATTTATTTTTCAACGTTTACAGAAATAGGTTGTCCAGATGAACCATGAAAATAAAGTTTTATTATTTAACATTCCATATGATTGGGATAGCTACCAAATTACAAAAATTGACATGAAAATAAAGTTTTATTATTTAACATTCCATCTGATTGGGATAGCTACCAAATTACAAAAATTGATTATTGATGACTTCCAGACAACCAAATGATTGGCCAATAAGCATGTATTTTCTTTCCTTTGATTTTACAAAAATGTAATATTGACTTACAGACAATAAAAGTGGCTAAACAAGTAAATCACTTCAAGTGATTGGCCGCATTGTAATTTAATTGTTCTGTGGATGGCTAATGTAATTTGATTTCTTGCATATGGGATGCAAATTCCATTGACTGGATAATGATGTGTATCATGGTTACGGGTCCTATAAAACTACGACTACTTTGTCGGCATAATACAAGTTTTAATTACAATGTGATGTTTTTGCCCATCACCAAGGAAAGTTGAGATAAGGACACTTACGTTTCTACATTCATTTCCACGGATTCCTTATCCACTTTACCAAACACCCTTTCTCTTCCTCTCGCTCTCGTTGCCTCTTTGGCCAAATTGTGACTCATCTTTGAATTTCAACATAGCCACACATGCATTGTTTGTCTCCTTATCAAAAAGTATGCACACAACTTTTTGCGAATGGCCAAATCACTCCTAATTTCTTGTTTCATTACAATCCTACCATGCTGTCAAATATAATGAAGATGGTTTGTCACTATGGTAACTATTTATTTATGATTAACTACAAGTACTTTTAGAATTAATCACCAATGTCTCATGTTGATATCTTCTTTTTTTCCTTTTAAAAAAATTTATCATTGTTTCTCTCTCATGATGATCTAGATTCTCTTTCATATATGGACTGCATTTGTGACCCGGTATGAAATTGGTTTTCTAGCAAAAAGTAGGATGATGGTGTGCACATGGGCAGGGCAAATTTATTCGGCTCAAAATAACCAAAGGCCCAAAGTAGGATTGGATAGTTGGAGACTGACATGCATTGTTGATTCATTGTCTAATAGCTTAAATGTCAATGCTGATTAATACGAAATATATAAATAAATATTTATATTTAAAAAAAAAAAGGAAAAAAAAAAGAAGCAAAAGTAGTGAAGAAGGCAAAGTACAACTCCCTTACATCAATTTTCTTTCCTTTTCGGTATACACACTCCTACAGTATAGATTAATTTGAGTGGAGTGACATATATATCTTTTACGGTTGATAATTAACAAAGCTACACCAGCCTAATCTTTGTGAATGCACTTTCATTATCCCATTATTTTAATCACCATGTAAGCTTAATGGAGATTTGCCTTTTCTTTTGGGTGAAGAAAGGGTCGGGGGCATATAAAAAACTGGCGTCCTTGAAAAGTCTTGTGAGGAAGAGGAAATAGAAAGCCAAGTAGCTAGTCATTTAAAACGATAAGAGGTAGGTGCCAAAACCAACCATTGGCAACAAGGCAAGGCAATTTCCAAACAAGCAAAGAAAGGAATTCACAAACATATACTACACTTGTATTTATATATATCCCTTCCCTCCTATCATTCTCTCTTCCACCCCTCTCTCTCTCTCTCTCTCTCTCCCTCTCTCTCTCTCTAATTAGCTAGGAATTTGTAGAATCTCTCTCTCTCTCTCTCTCTCTTCATGGCAACATTTTTTAGCAGAATTGCCATGTTAAATATTCTTCTTATATTTTCTGTATATTTCTCAGGTACTATACCTCTTTCTCTATATATGCATACTTAATTAATTCCTTAGTCCTTATTTGTTGTTCTTTGGACTTTAATAATTTTCCTTTTCATTTTTTTTTTTTTAACAATTTTAATTTTAATTTTCATTTTCAGGTTTTAGTAATCTACGAGGAGTTGAATCTCTTGGCATCAACTATGGCCAAGTTAGCAACAATTTACCACAACCTGATAAAGTTCTTGAACTCCTACAATCGCTGAAGCTCACAAAGGCCAGAATTTACGACACAAATCCTCGAGTTTTGACGGCATTCGCCAACTCTGGAGTGGACCTCATTGTGACAGTCGAAAATGCGATGTTAAATGTTCTAAGGGATCCACAACAAGCTCTTCAGTGGGTTAATACCCACATAAAGCCATATATTCCGGCCACGAAGATCACCGGAATAGCGGTGGGCAACGAGCTCTTCACCGGCGGGGACATAACGGAAATTTCCAATCTTGTACCAGCCATGGTCAGCATTCATGGCGCCCTAGTTCAACTAGGACTAGATCAGCAAATTCATGTTTCTAGTCCAAATTCTCTTGCAGTGCTGGGGGAATCGTACCCGCCTTCGGCCGGAACTTTCAGGTCCGAGCTCGCCGGAATAATGCCGCAGGTTTTGCAGTTCCTGCAAAGTACTAAATCACCCTTTTTTATCAATGCATACCCTTATTTTGCTTACCAAGGTGATCCTAACAAGATTCCTTTAGACTATGTCCTTTTTAACCCTAATTCAGGAATGGTTGACCCTTACACTAAACTACACTATGACAACATGTTATATGCAATGGTAGATGCAGTTGTATTTGCTATGGCTAGAATGGGTTTTGGAGGGTTGGAAGTTAGGGTTTCTGAGACAGGGTGGCCATCCAAAGGTGACCCTGATGAAATTGGTGCAACCATTGAACATGCAGCGGCCTATAACCGGAATTTGTTGCGAAGGCAATTACGAGGTGAAGGTACACCTTTGAGGCCTACCATGAGACTAGAAGTTTATTTGTTTGCTTTGTTCAATGAGAACTTGAAGACCGGAAAAACTTCGGAGAGGAACTATGGTCTATATCAACCAGACGGCACCATGGCTTACAATGTGGGACTTATGGCTTTGTCCAGTACTACTTCGTCAACCTCGACAGCTTCGATTTCTCTCACTTCCTCTGCCACTCATGAGGTAAAACCATAGGTCTTCTTCTATTCTACCCAAAGCTCTCTTGGCTATACCATAAACCAAATTATCAAAAAAAAAAAAAAAAAAAAAAAAAAGGGTAGGCAATTGTGGCAAAGGGAAAAGTGTATATATGTACAATTGTATATTATTAAAGGTTATATGTTTCTTGTAATTTTTTTAGAAGAATGGTGTATAGTTCATGGGTTATTATTATATGCTATTATTGTGGAAGATTGATCTGATTCTTGTATTCTTCTTAATTTCTTTTTTTTCTTTTTTCTTTTTTCTTTTTTTTTGTGTACGTATATGTTATTTATTGTTAAAACAGGTAGCAAAGATGGGATATCAAAGCTTGGTGTACTGGATGGTTGTGTATTTGGCTGCTTTACAAGTTTTAATGAGAAGACCATATTAATGATCAACTGGGGTATTTCTGTAAATATGACTTTTTGGGCAAGTGATCAAATGGGGTTGGTTTCTCTTTTGGGGTCTATTTGCATTATTGCATGCAAATTGCTTACACCTAAAAAAAGAAAACATTCCCTGTGTTGAGGGGGTGGGGGGGTGATATTGTACTTTCCCATCAGACTTTGAGGGGTCATTCTCACCATCTAATGGTTACAATTTCGTATGCGGACCACATCGATCATGAATCACAGTACTACTCTTCAAGCTAGCCAACAGTCTCGATCAATCAGAAGATGAACCTATTTTTTGGTAGAGATGAGACAAAAGCATTATATATATTACAATCCCGCCTGTCTCACTGATCAAAGATGTAGTTGAAAATTTATTTCTCAATTTACCTTTATCTTCTAGAATTTAAGTTTGTATCAATGTTCTTTCTTATGTATGAATTATCACGAGAACACTGTTGTAAGGTTATTCTGTTTTTTTGCAATATTAGAAGTTAACTACTTTCGAAGAGATAAAAATCTTCACTTAGCATTCTCGGTTAGATTGTTACGTCTGATAATTGTAATAAAGAAACATTGTGTTATAAAGAAGACAAACTCCATATATACAACTTATATACACAAATCTATAAATAGATAGCTGAATAAAGTAAAGGATAGAAGAATTTCTTAACAATCTTCTGATTGGTTGAAACATCAAGTCGACCATTGCTTGTCCTATAATAATAGATTTATGTGAGTCTATTCTTTGCAAGCATCACAATAATTAATTTGCGAATATTGTGACAAATGCAAGTCAATATTGTAATGAAAATCCAGTTGTAACTATTAAGTAATTATGTTCGTTCAATGGATTCTCCAAATGAAACTAATTCTATATCCAATGTATATATATATGTTGAATTTTCATGAGCACTCGATTGTACATTGAACTTGTGATCGATTAGAGTTGCTGTTTAACTTAGATTTTCCTCTGTAATTAATTAATGGTTTGAATTCGTAAATAAAATCATTAATGTTGGGACATATTTTATCCCAACAGTTGAAACCTGCTTTAACCAACAAACATTAATTTCTTAAGGAATTGCTTTCTTTCAAGATTCCCTATTGTCGACTGTGACTTTGTCTATCAATCAATATATACATTCATATATATATATATATATATAAATTATATATAAAACTAAGGATAATGTAAACCAATATGCATGCAAAAGTTGATGAGGCTACGTTTTCTCTCTCTCTCTCTCTCTCTCTCTCTTTAATCTTTGGAATGGGAAATTGGGCCGTCCAGCTTTATTCCCTTGACATAACCGTCAGCATTGGCCACCCAGTGGCATTCTTTTTGAAAGGAGCTTTAGATTTTGCGGGCAGAAATGGGCCCACGGACATGTCAGCCCAGCCTTGGGTGGTCTATCTTTCCCACATCAACTGACGTGGTGCACATGCAGCCCAACAATCAAATTGGACCCACTCACAGTATATGGAGATCTATATCTATATCTATTGTGTGTAGTAGACTATTGTTGTAGCTCGGCGATTTGGTTGCTTTTTGCCACCAAATCAGATGTCCCATTTTACACGTATACCACCATCACCATGTGTCTTTGACAAATTGACACGCACACAGCAAAGTATGACTAGCTAGACCACAAAGTTTCATACATATTATTTTAATTTTTTTTGGAGATTCATGGGTTTGATATGTGACTAAGTGTTTATTATCCTTGTATTAATCAATGTTTGATATGATAAGAGAATATATGTTTGTTCATACATGCTTGTTAATTTATTATTAATCAAACATGAAATCAACCTGTCATCCTTGAAAGATTCTCTTTTGAGTTTTTCAGTTGCTTATCTGAGTTTCTCTTGTCATCCTCTGGAGCTTTTGAAAATTTGCTACATGTTCGTCATAGAACAGTAGTAATGGACAAACTCAGTGCACGGTACTTTTATCATTGTGGAGTCTAAAAAGGGTTAAATGAAAAGATAAAATTTTACCTTCGCATATAAAGAAACTGTTTTCTTGTTCTGAATTCATGACCATCCAGTCACAATTGAACAATCTTATCATAATACTTGTCATTGTAGAATCCAAGTAGAGTTTGTATTTTTTAATTTTCAACTTTATTTGAATCATGATTTGTCGTATAGTCTGATACACGACTCTTTTCAAATTCAATATGCAATTCTTATCGACCAGTTTACACAAACTTTATCCGAATTCGTTACACCGCAATCATGACCATACTACAAACCATGGCTCGAATAGCATTTCTTCGTGGCTAATTCTACCGTCCTGCATGGCATGGGTATAAGGTTGAATCATTATTCTAAATATGTATTTGTATACAATTCACCCAATACTGATTTTTAAATGGGCAATTAAGAAAATAAGGAAGCTTGTGGGTGGGCCAATTTTACCTTGGTATAAGGAATTAAATTAAATAAGAGTGGATTAATGGTTTTGTTATCCTCCCATTCTGTTCAGGGATAATGATTAGACTCTTTTCCTTTTAGGGATACCTTGAATTGGCATAATCTGAGAAAGATGCTTTTGCATAGCAATAAACTTTCATGGAAGTTTTTCTACAGTTATATTGAATGGATTACTTTTTCTTTTTTATTGCTTTTGGGTAGAAATTGGGGTTTGATCTCTGATAGACTTGGAAAGTTAATTGATAGTAACAAACCTGAAATGTAGACTGCTTGAGATATGTGGATTGGTTTAATTCGGATGAAAACATATTCTAAAAAGTAAAAGATTGTGGTTAGGACTTCATTTGTAATCGGTTGAAAAGCCCAAAGTGTTGTCCTTTATTGGGCCAACATACAAAAAAAAAATATGCCAAGCCCACTTCTTTTCATATCTATACACACACACACACACACACACTATATATATATATATATATATATATATATATATATATACTTTGCATAAACACAATCAAATATTTACTCACACACACATTTTGTTCACGCTCTGCACACCGTTTTAGAGGTTTGATTGATTTTATATAGTGTTAAAGCTCAAGCCATGCTCAATTTGCAATGTATTAAATTCGAAGTAGAAGCTTGAGGGAATTTTGCTAGAAAAAGAAATCGAAGTTTAAATAGTTCAATATGATTAGTGTTATTTGATTTTGTGTTATTAGATTTGATGTAATAAGCCTTATGAATAAAAGATTAGTCTTTGTATGTTCTACCAACTGACTAGTACAAGTACAATTACAAAGGCATAGAGATTTTAATTTTTTTTTTTTAAAGTAAGACATGAACATGATAAATATAACTTTGATGTATCTTCATAAAATTATATGTAAGACCATGTTTGTTTTATACAAGACAAAAGTGTATGCTGTGTTATTTGACCAAGTTTTTGAAATGTATTCATCAAATATTTGAGAGTCTTCGTGGTGTGTTGATTTATAAGATCTTGTTTGGCGTGCGTTTTGTTTCTTCTATTTTTGTTTTTGGGTTATTACAGTGTCGATTTTGGTAACAAAAGTATGTTTAATGTGGTCTTGTTTTATTTTACATAGTATTCAAACACTTTCGTGAACAGTGACACAAAACTAAAATATCAAAAAATTATTTTTTCTTATTTTAACGTATTCATGGCCCAAAATCATAAAAGTAACAACACCCCTACATCTATTTTTGCGTAATACGGACGACACAAAAAAATCGTTTTTGCGTAATACGGACGACACAAAAAAATCGTTTGGAAACGTGTTTCAAATTTTTTTCAAAATACCCCTGCAGTAAAAATACTACTTTTATTTTAGTGAAAACCAAAGCGCCTAAAAAGCCCTAAAGAAAGTACCTTATCGAACTATCGAAGTGTCCCGTTAGTCGAACGGGGTAGGTTTATTCATTGATTCCTAAAATAAAGAAACATGGTAAGGTTAAAAAGTCCCTCACTCTCTCTCTCTCCAAAAGTCCCTCACTTTCTCTCTCTGGGAGAGCCTTGATAGATGCAGTAGCGATCGCAGGCCTGAAGCTCAATCATAAGATTTCGTCACAATTCTAATTCCAAATACCTCGGATATTCTGCTAAATTTTAGGTATTTTTGTAAAGATATTTTATCTCTATCCATATAGTGTTTATTATTATTTTTTTTTTTGGTGAACTAAAAGATAAAAACGGGAATGCCAGTAATGATGCATAAAAATACTTACACATACATATATATACACACATTGTAAATAGATGCAATTGGATTGAATTGTTAATTGATTTGATTGGTATATAGGGTTTTGATGAGTGAGGTGGAGGAGCGATTGGAGGAAAGAAGGAGAGGTTTAGTGCTTTAAAATGGAGGAATTTAATGCATCGTGAATGAGGTAAAGAAATATTTTTATTCTCTAGCTGCGTAAGTTTGTTTGAATGAATTGTTCTAAATTGGGCTATATCAATATGCTATTATTGACATGGTTAGGCATCTTAATTTCTAATAGTTCCTGATCAATTTATATGTTTCTCCATTTTTGTGTATATATCTATGCAAGTATTTTGTGATATATCATGTATATGTGCATATTTAATCAGAATTGCCCTTTAACACCCATACCCATATTGATGTCTATGATAATACTACCCAAATATTTTTTAATACATGATGTTGTTTCTCAATCTCGACCCTTGTGAAGCATTTCGTTCATTAGGAAAAAAGAACCTTTACTTATTGGTCCATCATACATGATACATTTTTAATCATGTAATTACAAAAATACAGAGGACTACCACATTTGAAATATTATTGAACACCTTATTTGAAATACATCTTTGCTTATCGAGGCATACATTCACACACTGTTGTTGAACCGTCTACCGGTGAATATGTTACATGCTGGACTTGAATTTAGAGTTTTTGGGATGGAAAAACACGTTTACGATATTCTCCGAGCGCCCACATCGGGAAAATGTTCCTGTATTGTGCATAATGCAACATGCAATTTTTCATGTAGACTCCGGTAATTTCCTGTCATAGATAATTTAGCAATGTTAGTTAAAGTCTTAAATAAAATGACCTGTAATGTGTTTTTGCCTAAGAACTACAATTTTCTTTTCTGGTTACGAAAAATGTCTAATATCGAACAAAATTACCTGTTGTGGAAAGTCACCATCATCCAACTGTGCATTAATCAATAGCTTTGCTGCTTTATGTAAAGGTGTTGGATCTCTCTCAGCCTAGTTGGTAAGAGAAAAAGAAAGGTTAGAATAAATCAATCATTTATTTTGGAGACATTAGAAAATTAATATTTGACAATATGTGAATTTATTGTTAACACCAAAAAATTTGAAACTAACCTGTCCACTTTGAAGAAGACCCAGCATTGCCCATGATGTTTGTACCAGGTTCGTTCTATTTCCTTCCAGTGGTGTGTATTTCTATTTCAAACAAACATTAAAATTAGAGGAGACAAAAAAATAGAAAGAACGCATTGGAAGGAGTTTTATATCTTCTATAAATTCTAAATGTAATGCTGTTTAGACTTTAGAGCCAACTTATAATTGACCACAAAGTTTAGAAGTCTCTTACCATGCTTGGGCATGACTCAAGATCCTCTCCCCAACCTCCTTCTTCATTTTGTGTTGAAAGAAAAAAATTGACAGCCTTACGAACTGCCTGATTGTTGTTATACGTCTTCCCAGCGGCTAGTAGCCCTCCCAGCACAAAGAATGTGCCATAGATGAAGCAAATTCCCCAATACCCATACCTGTCAATATAATGACATAAATATTAAATCAAATTGTCAATTATGCATTTTTATTTCCTCATAATTTTTTTGAAGAAAACGAGCTTACCAAGAACCATCGGGCCACTGTTTCTCTTCAAGAAATTGTATCGCTTTTGGAACGGCTATGTCTATTTCTTTCTCCCGATGCCCCGGATGTAATCGTTTGAATAACAGTAGAGCCTGGATTATAGATGCACTGCATTCGACATGCCTAAACCACAAAACAGCCATGGTTAATCGTCTATCCATGCTATATAAATCTTTTATACGATGGTATGATGAGAAAAGTTGTATAAAATCTTACTCCTTCTCAACAACAATGTCAGCAAAAAGTTCTGAAGGATTCAACACCTGAGAAAAGAAGTAACAAGATATGTTTTGGGTTAGCAAAGCAGAAATTTTCTTTAACAAGTAGGGCTTGTTTGGGAGAACTTTCGGAATAGAAGTGCATAATGTGAGCTATTACAATATGCGAAATAGATTACCTGTAAGTAAGGTTGTGGGACTGGGGGTTCCCAAATAGCAAAACCACCACTCAGAGGACTCTACATAAGAGAGAGAAAAAGGAAAATATGGATTAGAGTCATGGTACTGCTTGCCAGCCTATAGAACACAATTTTGCAAAAATTAGTCTGTCTTTTGATCTTTGAAGTAAAAAATTCAAGTATAAGATGTATTATGTACTTGTAAGTAGAGAAGGACATTCACGGCTTCATATAATCGCTCGACAGGGGGTTTCTCTCCAGCAATTTCTGGTGGCATTTGTGACAGTAATAGGAGACACTGCAGAGGAAAAGGAAAGTTTGCTTATTAACTTATTACACCACTGAATTTTTTAATTTCTAATAAATTTCTTCTATAAGAATAAAAATGTAAAGCTATAGTACCTTCAATGCTTCGGCTGTGCAGTCTGAGACGACCCAACCTTGATCTTGATCCGAGAAAGTCCATGATCCTTTAGTAAAGTGACGATACATGCTCTTGAAATCCCCAGCTGGATTTTCTTTGACCTTCAAATTTAGTAATTCAATATCAGTAAATGCAATAAGAATTTAAAAACTATGTATAGAAGAAACATATATAAATATTATATATAGAAGTGTGTGAATAGGTAGAAACCTGTGATTCTTTCACGTAAAAGTGCGCTTTTTTAAGAGAGTCCCCATACTCTTCAACCATATTAGTTGCAATTAGTGCTTGAGTGGCAAGAGTACTATCCCATACTTGACTACCAAAACTCTGCAAATTGATTGAGTAACAAGTTAATTAGCCAATGTTTCAAATACTAAATGCATAATACATGATTTCAGTGCATGTGTACAGACCTGCATTTTCATTCCATCTTCAGCAAGCCATAAGTAATCTGGAACTCTGGCTAGGTGATACTTGAACTCGTCACAGTTTGGGTCATTTGCATAAAAGGCCATCATTGTTAAACTCTGCATAAAATGACAATGCTTAAGACTCATTCTGCCATCAACAATTTGAATAGTTTGGCTCGATGAAAAACAGAGCTTAACCCATTTCTAAATGTTCCTCACCTTTTCCACACATCCTATGGTGATGTATCTACTCTCTGTTGCTCCATAACGCATGTACTTTATGGCTTTTTCTTGAGCTCTCTCTCTGATCTTGGAGAAGGGCCAGCACTGCATAACTGGCTCGCTAACGTAATTAAGAGTATCCCATAGCAGATCTTGTATAAAAGCATGAGGGTAGTAGAGATCCTCCTGAATTGGATATATCAATGACTCGATTAAACTTAGTCATGTTACCCACTTTTAGCAGGTGAATTGCCAAAAGTGTTAGCTTACAATCTAAGTTTGAATGCCTCTCTAAGCCACTTGAGATTAATTTCACCAACCTTACAACAGTCATGGCGTGCTTTGTTCCAATCTATCTCATCATATGGCTTGGGGTGAATTTCTTGTCTCAATGATTTAACAAGATCCGTAATTGGCCCATGCCATTTCCTACCGTACAGATACGACATCGGCATGTAAGTTGTACGACAATAACACCACATTTTTGCTGCATAGCATTAGCATAGAAAATGAGTCCAGGATAATATAATTTTTCAACTTAAAAAACTATATAAAAAAATGGGGCAAATACAAGAACAATAAGATAGAAGAAAGATAGTGCAATGTTTGCTTCAGTTTTTTTAGAAGCATTTTACGTTTTCAGAGAACTGAATATCAGAAAAAAGTACAAAAAATTGTTTAGTTGGTAGTTTTGTGAAATCTCAATTAAAAAATGGCCTTTTTTTTTAAAAAAATATATAAGAGTCCTTTATAATTTTCTATTTTCTTATTTTCAAAAAACTAAACCATACGAGTCCATGCTCTTAATCTTTACCTGGATGATAAGGAAAAAATGAAGGGAAAAGCCAGAATTCAGGGGGCAATGGGTTGCAGCCTGCCCACTCGTACACTCCAAGCACCTGCAATCAAAGTTGATTCTATATATTAACAGAAATTCATAAAGAGGGTTCTGAACTAATCTCAATACTAGTAAAATTTTGCAATTTAATTTGCTTAATTGTTCTGTTTGGCTGCAGACAGGATTGAGGAAATGAGAAGATAATTTTAAGCCTTGGAACTATTTTTACGCACTTTCTGCAGACAAATGAGACTTGAAACTTTCATTTGCTTTCAATAGCAACAAATTTAGATATCTATCTTATTGAAGTTTCTTGTTTGAGTTTGTTAATCTTACTGATAGATAAGTCTTCCCCCATGAAGGTATCCCAGTTGCACCACCATGATCCAGAATCCATTTACGGCCTCTTGCAATTGCACCATCTCCATCATCAGGTCCTTCTCCTAGCAAACGCAAGGCAATGTAGCTAAGTGCTGAGCCAATCATGGTGCTGTGGCCCTCTATGTAGAATCCCCATCCACCATCATCGTTCTACATGAAACATTCTACTAGTTTAGGTAACAGTTAAAACACTTATAATCTACTGTAAAGATTAATGGGATTGATTTTGATTTGTACTTGATGAAGGTAAATGTAGCGAATCAACTCCTTTTTGTGCTCTTGTGTTAGGATAGTATTAATTGCCCCACTGATGTGTAGGATAATGAGCTGCAGATTGCAACAAATTCAACTGTTAGCCCAACATGTAATAAAAAAATCATCATCAACTGTTGTTGTTATGCTTCATGTGGTTGCCTAGAAAGCAGAGGAAAAAGAGAGAAACTTGAGATATGTTCTTTATATAGATTTTGCTGTCTTATAATTCTTTTGTACTGCTTAAACGTGCTGAAGTTTGATCATTGCAGTGGCAACTCAATGACTACAACTTGTGCTTGAAGTTATGAAAATACAGTAAATTTAGGCAGTGAGAGTAGCATTACTGTTTTCTTTCAGAATGAATGAGGCATTTACTGCTTTATGTGATCGACTTCAGTTGAGTTGAGTACATACCAGGGGAGGCGTAAAGAACATTGGTCCTGCATTTTCAGCTGGCCAGTGTCCATCCTTTGCTTGGACTGCGCGATTTAATCGAACAGCTTTTCTCACAGCAGTAGTAATTTTTTCATAGCTTATTTCTTCATTGTCTCCTATTCTCACTGGTGGTATGCTTAGATCAATTCCGCTTTCTTTTTTGAGCTGTGAATTGCAGATCAAACAATGAAAATTATTTAGAAACAAAGTTGAAACTGTTCTAGCACTTCACTTTATATTTGTAAAGCACTAATTTTTTTCCCCGGTAAAAGACTTGTTAGAAAATTCTCCATATGAATAAAGTTAGGTTTGTGTTTACCTGCATTCGCATTAGAATATCACCGCAGGGTTCAGCTCCAGCTCTAGTTTTCCGGCTTCTCACGTAGTCCTCTCGAGCTTTCTCAACTTCGGCACGCTCCTCTGGCGTCCCTGCTTCAGGATCAAACTCCCAAATTTGTCTACCAACAAAGTTGTTGGTGCTATACAACCATGGTCCGTGCCCTTCAGCGATCTTGAGCTTCCACATACTGTTGTTAGCCTAAGTGACTCAAGTTTCTTCAATAGGCCTCTGCAGTGATATGGACCAAATTAGATGGCAGCTATATGGGGAAAAGATGAGTAATGCTACTGTGTGGCACATTTTAGGCAAAAATAATAACACACCAAGTACAGCATCACGTAGCCATTATTAAAGTGATATTATTGTGGTGGAGGGAAAAAACAAAAACAAAAATCATCTTAAAATACAATAAAATAATATTATAATAGACATGATATTTCGTGTGATTGATTGCACATAAATTACGATTTATTTTATCTTTTTTGTTAGTATATATTTACACACAATCCCTGAAAAAAATTATTTGTACCCAAAAAAAGTCCAACATAAGGGACACTGAACACCAACCCAATCTCTTTTAATCAAATCCATTATTGCAAGAAAACTACAAACAACCTACGTGAACGGACGCTTTCAGTTAGTTAACTTGGATGTTTTTCGACTACATAATCATGACAAAAGTCAGAGAGTTTTATGATAATTGTTGATTTGAATCAAAACTGACCTAGAAAAACATGGTCGCGTATTTCATTTTTATTTCCAACATCCTCTGAATCACTGTAAGTAAGAAACCGTCCATCCAGTGCAAGGTGATTTGGTGATTGGTCCAATTTTGGGACTATATACTTTTATCCATGTATGTATCGGTGAGTGTCAATTTATGGTTGAATGGGAAGGTTTAATTAAGTGGAGTGCACGAAATTAAATGTTGGTGTAGGACCCATTCCCACTTAAAATTATTAAAATCATGTCCAATTTAGGAGAACACTCAACCTAGCAATGTCACATGCAGAGAGCCGACCTAGAAAACAACTAATAACAATGCAATGCATTCAAGAAAAAGAATGCCTTGTGACCATAAATCACCTTTTTCTTTTCTTTTTCATAAGTAACCTTGAATCAACTTTACTACACACACACGCACATATATATATATATATATATATTTATGATCTTTTATTTTGCTGGACCAGGGATAGAAAACCTATTTCGGTAAAGGTGTTGCTGCTACCCAGGCCCAGTTTAGTAGCTCATGCCAAAAAAAAAAACCATTTTGGCGTAGAGATACGGATCTCAACATAGAAATATGTTGGGATTTGTATGATCACCCTTGAACTTGAACTGTATACTGTGCACCAAAATGGAATAGCTTGTAATACATGCTTATATCCACTTCATTCAGTTGGCAGCCAGCCTTATTTGACAATAGCCACTTGAGAGAGCAGACACATACACACACTGATACACATCCATATATATATATAAAGCTAAGTACACGCGATAGATAAGAGAACCTTGCTTCAAACAGTTGGTATGATGGAGTAAAAACATGGAAATTATGTGATTTTGGGAGGTCATAAATATTGATTGGTGTTCAAAATTCACTAAAAGACCATAACTTATTTTATCTTGTCAAAACTATAAAACTTTGTCTCATCACTGTCAGGAAATTTCCTGCTACCTTCATTCCTTTGTCTTCATCCATTTGATCGACTTCTCTAAAAAACTTTTCCATTTTTAATGTAATCTCTCAAGAAATCAAACCCCAGAAAAAGAACATGATTGATATATATTAACTGGTTTGGTTCAAACACTAGGTTAAGATAAATATATTAAGGCCAAATTTGAAATCCGTTTATGTAGCATATTTGGCATACAAAAAACCGTTATGTGACAAGGTTGAAATATGTTTTCATAGGACCATGCATGCAATCTTAATTGAACCCTCTCAAAGAAAATAACATATATATATATATGTGTCTCTGTGTGTGTGTGTGTGTGTAAATTAAACCATCTTAGAAAGATTCAAAATCTGTGGAGGAAAGAGTGAGACCTCTGTCATTCAATATTCCAAATAACGTTTTGGGAAACATTTTTTGTTGCTATAAAACTAAATTCAATGCCACCACCATTTTTGTTTGTGTGTGTGTGTGAGAGAGAGAAAGAGAGATAGATACCTGATTCAGGCTGTGGTGTAGAGCTGCAGGAGGATGAGAGGTGCAGCAAAAGGGGTATGGACAGTGAAGTTGAAAATAATGGTTTGAGGAAAGAAAAGCAATACTGGTTATATATACCTACAGGTACAACTAGGCAGCATATAAACGTGAGACCTCGACTTAGTTGTGAACATCATTGTGAATATTTTACCAGATAAAAATAAAAAATAAAAAATAAACGGAAAGAAAGTCAACACCAAAAACTTGTAGACGGTGTGTGTCAGCTCTACCATTCTATTTTGGAGGCTGAAAAATAATGAACTAATACAGAGATATGTATATATATATTACACACAAATGTATGTATATACAAATAATTAATATAATAAAGTAATTGAAAAGTGATGCTATACCAGTAGTATACCACCACTACTCTTCGACGTACCCAAAAGTCTGGCCCGGTCACTATGTATTGCCAGTTTCTAACCATTCTCAAGTGTGTCTTCATTGCCATCAAGAAATTTATATTCACACTAGCTATTACATAATTCGTCAGAAATTACTTTTGCCAGTGTTTTTTTTTTTTTTTTTTTTTGACTTTTACTTAATTAATTAAAAGTTGGAAATTTGTATAAAACGACGACTTTAATCCTGTTTGATAATTAAATTTGGCTTTCTTAGTCTATAACTATTTAAAGCAATCTAATCAAAGATGCTTTCAGGACAATTCCCGAATTCAAATCTTCATTTTCTTTGATTTTGTTAATTTTTTCCCTGAATAATTTCAACCACAATATAAAGGTTGTAAGGTAAACTCCAATTACGTATTTACATTATATTTAAGTGTTTTTTTTTTGTTTTTATTTTTTATTTTTTAAGAGAGTCAGATAAGGACATCAACTCATAATAAGTACTTAGAGAATATGTAGGAGCCTGTCGGAGTTAGGAATTTATTCCAGAAGAGACAACCATTAATAAAAATATTTTAATATAATTAAAAAAATTAAATCAAAATAATAAATAGCAAAGGAGAGTCAATAATGAAATTTTGATTCTTAAAAATTTTGTTGGGTTTACCACAGGAGAAAAATTATGAATATTTTCTTAATTTTGAAAATCTTGTTGGACTAGCTCGTTACAAAAGGAGGGTTTTCATGGTTTGGATGAATTAATAGTTTTATAATTCCCACATTATTTACTAAATAATCTAATTATTTAATTAGTTAAAATAGTATGATGGGTCCTGGAAAGTGGAAACTGATGTTCAACTGTATTATATAAAGCTAAATACATGTATCAATGTGTATATATAAATAATATGAAACTAGATTGTGAGAAGATTACCTCGATGATTTAATCAGGACTATATACTTAATTAACATGGATTAGAATAGTAATGGTTGTTGGGGGAGAAAATATAAACAAACTCACCTAACACCACAAAAAACGTTTAAAATACGTATAAGTAATTGATACAGTATTTATTTTGAATATTTCTTGGAAGAATCGTTCTTTGTCCTTTTCTGGCTCTGGCGCTTCATATTCCATTATGAACAGTGGCTCGTTTCAGAAGCATAATGTGCCAACCACAATGCACCCACGTGGAATTTCCTAATTTGGTGCATCGGAAAACATTATTAGCATACAAATATACAATAAAAAAGAATTTAAAATTTGAAAGTTGGACAACTCACTGATTTAAATAAATTGAAATAAATATCATAATAACATCTATCTTTATTTACATAAAATTAGTCTAATTTATTTGTTAGTCTAACATACAATCACATGCTTTAATTAGATTTAATTAGATTGAACATATCTTTTTGATTAATAATAATAATAAAGAATGTCAAACGAACTGATTTGAAGTCATTCGAGTTTTATTATCATATGTTATTTATATAATAGAGTTAAAGAAGAATAGTATCCATGCCACTAGGTGTATATTTAATCGAGCCACATGGTGCATGTCCTAAGCATGTGGATCCATCGCTAAAAAACTATGTTAAGCAATTTAGTTGAATCATTAATTTTGGATTTCAAAGAAAAGAAAATGATAATTTAATGAGGTCAACATTTCTTGCAATATTTTTCTACTTTTTTCCACAGTGTTTTTGCGAGTGAAACGAAGGGATTGTGAAATATACTATTAAAAAAAAGGATGCCATACTTGACTAGATCGTTTCTTAGACTTCTCATCATGTCATGAAAGAAAAAGACGTCTTGACCTTTAACCCACAACACCAACTTCAAACATTTTTCACACAGTGCATGAATCACATCAATTCCGTGTACATGATTTTTTAACTTTTTATTATTATTATTATTTTCTTTTTTTGAGAATTGACTGATGTATGTGAGACGGATAAATTATACGTGTGTGGTGTGTGATATGGTGAATTACTTTTAAAAATTTGTATTTTTTTAAAATAAATAAAAGGAAAAATATATAAAAAAATAAAAAAAAAAATTTATTATTATTATAATATTATTTTCTATCAAAGTTTAACCAAACTCGTGGGCACCCATAACACGCCCATAATATTGCCTTAGGAGACATGCACTCAAGCTTTTCTTTACAAGTAGAGAACATAACTAATGCTTAATGGTATTATATGTATATTTGATCAAGTGTGTGTCATATGTGTGTGTATGTATACAAAATCCTTTTCCTATTATTGGTACATTTGTGTGGTTTTCAGCTGATCAAACTACTGCTATTTTCCCTATTGCAGGACTACACACAAAAATCACCGACAAATTAGTTGGGGGAGTAATGACTTACAACTATATATATATACATATATATCTACGTTTTGATTCTTAATAAAATATCACACCTACCATATAATACTTAATTAGCTCATTTAATTGGTGGCTATGCTAGGGTGTCACACTTCTGCTTGTCCTGCCCTGCTTTCCAATTAATTCGCCGGTAGTTCGGTTACATCCATATCCTTAATTATAATTAATTAATGCTATCAAACGCACCTCCAAGGGTTTATTTTCATATTTAAAACTCGTCATATTTATTTGACGGATAATTTGTTTCGAACAGTTTTAACATCCTTATTCACAATTTCGACTCCACCACATAGAAATAATGTATAATAAATGCTTCAAATTGTAACATTTGATTAGTTTTCAACTAGCTAGACCTGAGTCACTGTAAACGAAACAAGGTTCGACTCCAGTAGTATGTATATGGTTCATATATAATTTTGATATATAGTATGTATTGTAGGGGTAAATAAGGACTTTTCGTCAATTCACCGTTAATAGGGTGATAAAATATTAAAATATCATTTCTACAATTTAAAAAATAAAAATTGAGTTAATGTAAAATTACTATTATATCCTTTATTTTTGAGATTTATATACAAAAGGGAAGGGCATTTTAGGAATCAATAAATGATAATTTTGGTATTTATTAAATTTAATCAGTCATGTGTCAGGCACACGATTTTTTAACTATGCATTTTTAACGGTAACAATCGAAAAATACTTTTTTACAATATTTTTAAATTCTTGAAAGAGTTATATACCCAATGTAAAAAAGAAGAATATTATTTGCTCAAAAAGTAAATCTTAGGAGTGTCTAAGACCCATGAAATAATGAAAAACATATTATTCAATTTTCGAATTCCAAATCCTTTTAATGTTGTGTTTGGGGTATTGAATGGTGCCTAAAATTTAAAATAAGAGAAAATTTAATTCATTAATAAATATAAAATTAGAAAAAAAAATAAAAATTAAACAGTGCTCCAAATTTATTAAAAAAGTGGCACTACGTAAACCTTTGGCTAGTGCGAACTATAAGCACAAAAAGATAAAATTAGGTTGGCAAATTTTCTCTCTTTCATGCTTTCACTTCAGCCTTGGGAAAACCAATAACAACATTCACCTCGTTTGTGTACAACCTCTCATTTTCCATCTTCATGGACCATAAATTGTCAGAAAAATATCATTTTCAGTGGTGGTGTGATGAAGGTTACATCATATAGTGTATAATAAATATGCGTGTATATATATCTATATGTATTGCTTAGGTCATTACAGAAGATAAGAATGGAAATAATCATCAAGTCAAGTAAGACGGCAGCCACTTAACGAAAACTATCTCATAGAACAAGCTGCTCTAGCAACTACTAATTTTAATTGTCTTATATGGTCAAAAGTTAAACGGACTAATAAATCAATTTTCTTTCCCACCTTTTATTGTAATTTTTTTTTTCTTAATATGGTGATCAAATTTGGGATTAAATTCCCTTTTCAGTATGATTACGGACTTTGGAAACAATGATTTACAACAACCCAAGGAAAAAATTGTCATTTTCATCTTGTAAAACATGTCCTGTTTTATATAAACCCAAGCCATAATGTTTGTGTGTGTGTGTGTATATATACACATATACGCGCACACACACACCACCATGATATTAGATTTACCCACCTCTTATTTTGTCTTCTCCTTTCTCCTAAATTGTTGAGAAGGAATGAGTTCTTAAGCATTATAATCAACTATTTTTTTAATTGTTTTTAAAAATTTCATGTTAAAACTTAATAAATATGTAAATTTATTCAGATTTAAGTAAATTGCATTTTCACCCTGGAAGTTTATAGGTGGATTCATCTTTGCACCCTTGAGCTTTAAAATTAACAAAATTATTATCCACTCATCCGGGGGAGGGAAAAGAAGAAGAAAAAACAAAACAAATAATTATCCCTTGAAGTTTAGTGGCATGAAATTGATTTGCACATGCTTATATAATTTTAAACTATTTTTTCTATTTCCTTTAGTCTAACAATTTAGAATAATAACTAATTAATCCTTCTTCAATAAAATATGGATTAGAAGAAATGTCAAGCAACAAAGAGAGAAGGGATCCCTTATAATTTAGGTATATGGGGAAAAAAAATGCAAAAAAAAGAAACCATTTGGAGGATAAATGTTTGATGGAATAGAATTTCCAAAATGTTTTTATCCATTATTATAACAATAATTATTTATCTTCAAATTAATTAATTTTAAAAAGTAATAGTGTACTTGGTTAACTTTTCTGAGAACAAGTATCTTGAATTATATAGAAAAAATTTTGAAACAGTATTCGAAAACTAAATTTGATTTTTTTTTTTCCTTTAAATTTTTAAAAAATGTTTTATG